AGGCGGGGTACACCCTGGACAGAGAGCCAGTCCATCGCAGGACAACACAGAGACACACAGGACAAACAATCATGCACGCACACACTCACACACCTAAGGACACTTTGGACAGACCAACCAACCTAACAGTCATGTTTTTGGACTGTGGGAGGAAGGCGGAGTACCCGGAGAGAACCCACGCATGCACAGGGAGAACATGCAGACTCCATGCAGAAAGATCCCAGGCCGGGAAGCGAACCCAGGACCTTCTTGCTGCAAGGCAACAGCTCTAACCACTGCACCACTGCACAGCCCCATCTGATAATTTATCAGTTATTATTAAAACATCTGAGTTTATAAATAAGCCTCCAGAAGTGCTGGTGAGCTGCTCTGGCACACACACACACACACACACACATGGAAGAAGGCGGAGCTGTAAATTTGCTCAGTGGCACTTTTAGTCGAGGAATCTTCCTTGTAGGATTTGGGGATTGTGGGTAATCAGATGCAGGCAGAGGGAGGCATATAAGACTAACTGGTGTGTGTGTGTGTGTGTGGGGGGGGGGGGGGTCATAAGACCATCTGCTCATTAAAGCTCACGTTTGCCACTCTGCGTTTTTCACCACACACACGTGCACACACACACTCACCTGATGCAGACAGGTTGCCAGGCAGCACATGAACACTATTATGACTTTATGGCTGAGGTCTTTCTACTGTCCGGTTTGGTCCTGATGGGTTCTGCTGAGGAGAACTTTCTGCACCGGGGTGATCGTATGTTCTGACTAACTGGTCCATCGTAATCCTTCAGGACCCAAACCGGCCCGGAGAAGCAGGGATGTCTAGTTAGTGACCTGGGGCTTCATTTATCAAGCTTGCTTACGCACAAAACGGGGTCAGAAAACTGCATAGGCAACTTTCCATGCAAACTTTGGGATTTATGACTGAAAACTTAGCGGAAAAATGTGCACAACTTCAAGTTGACTAAGGACCTGGTTTACGCACATTTTGGACATGGAGAGCACCTGCAGTGCTGCTGCTGAGAAGGATAAAATTATGAAATCCTGTAGCATTATCACTTGTACTGCTTCGTTTTACACAGAACAAGACCCCCCACACGCACACACACACTCACACACTCACACACACACACACACACACACACACACACACACACACACACACACACAGCCTGAAGCGCAGAATAGGGAATGCAGAATATCAGCAGGGGGACAGATTGAGACAGAATGTCATGCGTCTGTGACAGTGTGTTTTCTGTCACTGTGACCTGATTGATCATACGCCCTGGCTACTTGGACAAGGGAGATCTCTGTTTGGGTGACTGGTTAGCGAGCGTGACTTTCACCTGGGAGTCTGGTGAGCGAATCCCGATTGGACCATTTTTTTTATCCGCCACAGATCTCTCTGAAGAACTCACAACATTGACGGCTTCAGCAACGCTGTGCCACTCCGTGGATTTTGATTATTTGTTTTGCAAAAGCACTTCCTTTCATTTCTCCACCTCACCCACAAATACTTCAATTTCTGCTTCTGTGAAATTGCACTTCCTTGATGTGCCTTGATCTACGGTTGCCATGTCATTGGCGGAGCGCTGCAACAGCTGGCTTATGTATATGCATGAGATCCACAAGGCACTTTGCATTGACCATTTATGGCAGTAAGTGGGCGTGGTGAGGGCGGGATGTGACTAAAATGCAGCTGAGAACCTTTTTAGATAGTTTCTGATTTATAAAGCGGAGATTGCGTGCAGCTGTGCGTACTCCATGTTTGATAGATCACAAACCTACTTGGCGTAAGTACATTTTTTTTGCTGAGCTTAAGTACGGTTTTAGTAAGGATTCTACGTAATGTTTGATAAATGAGACCCCAGATCTTCAGAGTCTGGTTCCAACATCTGGTGGAAAAACTGGAACCAGACCCAGAGGAGGAGCTGGCCCTGAGCAACCCAAGGTGTCGGGTCGGGTCTCGCCTGGCATAACCCACAGGTTAGTGAGTTTGGATAAACCCGTACCATCACATCTCCATGGAGATGTGGAGAGGATGTGGTTCTGATCTATGACCTTCAACTACTCTAAAAATGTTCAAGCACCTTCGGGTTTTTTTTATGAGTGACAGTTGGAGAGAGCGAGGTTTTCGGGGCTCTGGGAGGAGATCCAGAACTTCCTGGTGGGAATAACCATTGTCTGTGGTCTGGGAGAGGAACACCAGAGAAGGTCTGGGCTTCCCTGCTGGACCTGCTGATTCCATGACCTGATGGACGGACGGGTCATTTGTCTCACAGATTTCTGTCGTTGAGCTCCATTTGAACCCGTTCCAGTTGGAGAAGATGGGTGTCAGATTTGAGATAGGTGTTTCTTCTCTGATGAGGTTTTCTGTGTTTCTGCAGAAGCGTTCGCGCTAAGCTAACCGTTGTAACCCAGACCCAGGATATTGCCCCTGACCTCTTGACCCCTGAGGCGGGTGTGAGGCTAACTCAACAGTCGAGTCTCGTTATTTACTCCGGCATCTGGGGTCAGAAGAGAATGGCAGCAAAGCTCTGTGAAAACATGCCTCACAGGGATGAGTTTTCCTGGGATTTAGTGGAGTTCTTTCCTGCTTCTTCTGACAAGTTTATCTTGTTCTAAAGGCTGGAATTGTGTCAGAGCGGCCATGTTGGTTCTAGGATGCGTCTGTACATTTGTTTGTGTTTTCTCAGATGGGTTTTTATTCCCAAAGATTTAGATTGGGATTAAAAACCAGATTGTATCATTTTAAAGGTGTGGGACACTCATTTAATCAATACACGTGCAGTGGCCTCCAGTAGGAAGGAATGCCTTATAATTGTCTAATAAATGTCTCATCTCTCCTCTGATTGGCTAACAGCAGCACAACTCTACCATTGACTCCGTCTGCTCTGCAATGTTGATGTTTTATCTCCACCAATACCACAAGCCTGGAAGAGTTCTGCTGTGTAGTGCAGGGATCCGTTCTGGAGACTTGTTTATCTCATCTGGATCAGGCATCTCAAGCACAAGTTTCTATTTTTATCCTGATGCCAGTGTGATGTACATGAACTATTCTGGGTCTGCTCCCATCATCTCTGCTGGAGGACGACTGATTCGTGTTTGTTTATCACTCCGAGCCAAAACTAGAGTGATATTTTTTCCTCTGGGTCTATGTGGTTGTTTGTAATGATACAAGATGGCCACCTAAGCTAATGTACATTAGCAAACACAAAATCAGGCTAGTTTTTCAGGGTTAATCTTTGATGTTGCTGAGGGTCTTCCACACGTGAACACATGAACTCTGACCTCATATGAGATCGTGTGTTATCCTTTGAAGATCTGGCCTAGGCGACCGTAACTCCATCAGTCCTCCACAGGGTCGGGGTCTACATTTGTGGCATGAAAGGATTTTTGGGAATTTTGTTTATTATTGAATCCAGAGAAGAGAACTTCTTCAGCCCGGCTCGGTGTTCCTGGGATGCTGGTGAAGGTCTTTGTGTTGGAATGAAGTGGACAGGAAGCCCATGGAGGTCCAGAAGTTCTGTTTGTGTTGTTGGGGAGGCGAGTTAATCAGAATCTTCACAACAAGCTGTAGGTGTGAGGTCAGGCTCTTTGAAGGAAGTAATGTAATCTTAATCTGCCTTTTTTTTTTTACTGGGAATTGATCACCTCACTGTTTTTGTTCTGGTCCGTTCCCAGAAACTCTGCTGGTGTACAAAGTTCTGGGTCTGAGCCAGACCCATCCAGGCTCTGTGGTTTCTAAAGCCTCCCTCCTTCCTGGTGTGTGTGTGTGTGTGTGTGTGTGTGTGTGCGTGCGTGCGTGTGTGTGTGTGCGTGCGTGCGTGACAACTGTACCTAATGAACAGGATCAAACCTTCTTTCAGGGGCAGAGAGGAACTTTGCTTTATTACCAACAGAAAAGGTGGATCTTCTGGATCAGGTTCTGGTGTGGAACCAGAACATGGAGTTTCTGGATTAAATATGGGGAAGATTATGTGAACTTTAACATTTTTGGTGTTTGGGTTTGAAGCTCCTGATGGATGGAGCCAAACGGGAAGCAGCGGAGCTCCAGTCAGAACCCTGACTCTTGTCTCTTCCCGTGTTCTAAATCCCAGTCTGCTGCCATAACATCCGAACATGCAAGCATCACGTTCATGTCTGCCGCTGGAAGCAGACATCCTGGATGTTTGGATCTGCTTTACTTCTGTTCTGTGTCAGGAACGTGTTCTCCGACCTTTGGGATCGCTGTGGTCCTGCAGCAGGGTGAGCTGTCCGATTCAGCGGTAGTGTGGAATAAATCCCACCTGCAGCAGAACAAGTTTACACACATTCGTGTTCTGGGTCACTGTCTCAGATTGAGATTACGCATCTGAATGAGATTAGATTTTTACTTTAATCTGAGGGGAGTGAGACATCCCACAGTTGTGGGACCGAGGAGAAGCTCCAAGTAGATGCCTTTCCTCGTCAGCAGGTTGTTATTCCATGTTTCCGTAGACCTGGAATCAGCTCCAGGCTGCGTGATTCCAGATCAGACCAGTGATGGTCTGACCCTCGATCACCGTGGTAACGGAGGTGGAGCTCTGTGTATCTCCTTTCATAATAATCTACTGTTACTGCTTTAGTCTCCCAGCTTCCATCGGTTAGCTTTTACTTTGGATCTGGAACTCGTTTTAGCAGCTGGAAGTCCAGAGGGAACGCTGCCGCATCTCTGGACCTCCAAGTTTACCGGATTAGTTTAACACAGGAAATGATTTAATGATCACATTTATTCTTCTCATCTTTTATTTCTCATTTCAAAGGTAAAGATCACAAAGGAGTGATGTGGTTAGTCAGGGACCGGAGCACCCTCTAGTGGTTAAAACGGGATGGTTTTCCCTGAAGATGTAGAGAAAGGATGGTGACACAAATAAAACTAATAGCTGTTCATGTAGAGCCACTCTAGATGCTTCATATGTTTGTTTTCCTGTTTCATCACTCAGAGGTCAGCAGCTCACAGGTGTGTTCTTCTCCCCTCAGTGGAGAAAGTGGAGCTGGTAAAACCGAAAGCACCAAGCTGATCCTGAGATTCCTGTCGGCCATGAGCCAGCATTCCCTGAAGGTTTCCTGCAGAGACCAGACCTCACATGTGGAGGAGGCGCTGCTGGAGAGCAGGTAACCACTCACCTGGCTGGATCAGACGACTCCCACCTGTCCTGCTGATGATTGAGCTCCTCTTTTCCTCCTCAGTCCCATCATGGAGGCCTTCGGAAATGCCAAGACGGTCTACAACAACAACTCGAGCCGCTTTGGGAAGTTTGTCCAGCTGCACTTCAGCCAGAAGGGAAACATCCAGGGGGGCAGGATTGTGGACTGTATCCTGATAATCCCACTTCCTGTTTCTGCTTGTTTCCCAATAAAAAGACTAAGTTGGAGCGGCTATCAGGGTCAGAGCTGCTAAAGTTGGTTAGAAATGTTAGAATATCGCTGCATCTCTCATGATAGCATCAGTTATCATTTTAGTTTTCTCATATTTTTCTTCTTAAAGGGTTAGCAGGCTAGCATAGCTTACTAAAGTCAGGTCTACATCAGGTTACCTACAGGTTAGGTAACAAAAGCCAGATGTATACTAACTGCAACTTCCCTGAAGTTGCTAATGCTAGGCTAATCTGAACAAAGATCAACATGGTAACATGCTAACGCTAACATGATGAGTGTATTTGGTCTGCCCTGGTGTTCCTGCCTCCTGGCTGACTGCTCTTTTCCTTGACTGACCGTTTTCCAACCACAGATCTCCTAGAAAAAGTAAGAATGATTCATTTTCCCACCAAACCTGTAATTGTTTTTCCTGCTGCAGCAGAATCCGGTTTAACAGGAGAATAAAAACATCTGCTAAGCTGCTGGGAAACATTTATTTACTAAATAAAGGAGCTGGTTGGTTTTTTCAACCAGACTTCACACCAGCTCAAACATGAACGGGTGTAGTAACCGGTCCTTTCATTCTTCTGCAGAACCGGGTTGTGCGTCAGAACCCAGGAGAGAGAAACTATCACATATTCTATGCCATATTAGCCGGAGCCAACTGGCAGCAGAGAGGTGAGTTATTAAAGAGCAAGATCACTAAAAACAATGTGTTATGTTATAAAGGGTTACTCTGTTTCATGCAGGCTGAACATGAGAATAGTCTCCTACACCTATCTCCTGCATTAGCTTCTGATAGAAAACAGACGGTGAAACTCCAGGATTAGAAAATCTTGGCAGATTTACGTCACAATGTCACTTAACATTCATGGAGTCACCCATCTGGACTCATGAGGGGGAAGGCTGTTGTTGGTTTAGCGTCCAGGAAACAGCTGAGAACATCTCTGCTAGTAGAAGTTAACTGTTAGCATTAGCAACTCCACCACATAACAGAAATCCTCCAGGCTTTTATTTGTGGAGGTAAAACATCAACGTTGCAGAGCAAGCAGAGTCAGTGGTAGAGTTGTGCTGTTGTTAGCCAATCAGAGGAGACATGTCCAAATATCAGGAAGTAAGACTCCAAATCCTGTCTTGTTAAGCTCAGCTCTGATGCGGCTAACTTCTAGTTCCTGAAACAGGAGCACCAGAGCTTTTTTTCTCGCAGAAATCACCTCACAAGACATTCGTATATCCCACTGCAGATGTGTTGGAAAACCGGTGAACTTGGTCTTTAAGGTTCAGCTGAGACAAAAACACGAAATCTGCAGAATCGTCTCGACTTTCTGTTTTTGTTCTCAGACTGTTGGAGATTATCTGGGGTATTAATCTTGTGTGTGTGTGTGTGTGTGTGTGTGTGTGTGTGTGTGTGTGTGCGTGCGTGCGTGCGTGCGTGCGTGCGTGCGTGTGTGTGTGTGTGTGTGTGTGTGTGTGTGTTTGCAGAGTCGTTCGGGTTGACCCAGCCTGAGAACTACCACTACCTGAGACAGTCCAGCTGCCTCGGCGACAGGACGATCAATGATGAGGGAACTTTCCAGGATGTTCTGGTGTGATTGCTGTTTTCATACGGAAGCCCGGTTGGGCCTGAACTAATAATTCTTCTAACGTCAACATAAATATGTTTAAGGATTGGAGTTTAATTAAAAACTTAAGTGATCTCTCTGAAGAAACTGAAGCCTGTTTGAGATCGGCCTAAACCTCTGAGGGCCAATCATCTCCTCAGGATGGATCTTCTGGTTCTGACCCAAACTCTCTGGATCTGAACCAGAACCCAGAATCTGGTCAGTTTAACCTGAGCTTCTCTTCCATCTCATCGTCGCTCCTTCCAGAACGCCATGCGGACTATGCAGTTCTCCGAGGAAAACATCAGTGAGGTCCTTCGCCTCCTGGCCGGGATTCTTCATGCGGGCAACATCGAGTTCATGACGGCGGGGGGGGCGCAGGTCTCGCACAAATCAGGTAAGAGTCCTCCTATCCCTAATCCTAATCCTGACTGTAGGTTACGGGTCTTCAGGACAGATTATTGATCAGAAGGACGGTTTTCCTCTGCAGCTCTCAGCTGGACGTCAGAACTTCTGGGTCTAAACTCGGAGCAGCTGGCAGAAGTTCTGACCCACCGGTCCATGATCCTCAGGGGGGAGGAGATCTCCACTCCACTCACTGTTGAACAGGTCAGCTGATGTTTAGGTGTTTGTCAGCCAATCAGCTCTCTCACAAGTTTCCAAATCCTGGAAAATGCTTTAATATGGGAAATATGACTGTGTAAGCAGAGATGACCAAATATTAAATAACAAACCTAAGGGTGTTGTTGTTGGGTGTGTTCATGGAGGCGGTGGATTCCCGGGACTCCATGTCCATGGCTCTTTACTCCCAGTGTTTCAACTGGATCATCCATCAGCTCAACAACCGAATCCGAGGAAAAGAGGACTTCAAATCCATCAGCATCCTGGACATCTTTGGTTTTGAGAACTTTGAGGTGAGTTTGAAGGGAAAATTACCCAAAATATGTTTTAAAATGATGAGTTAGATGAGATTTGAACAGTTTGCGCCCTAACACACCAGTGCATCCGGGGCCACACACGCTCTCACCTAAAGGAACTTTCCCATCACACCGCCTGTGACCTCCACTCAGCACACCCTGACGACCTGCACATTCCCAGATCCAACCTCTAGACCCAGGGAGGTCGCTGCCCCTCGACTGTGGACTCCCTCCCTGGCACCCTGAGGACTCCTTAGCCCACTGCCTGTTTTAAAGTCATCTTCAGACATTTTCTTTTTTAGCAAAGCTTTTAAACCCGAGCTGGCGCTCAGCTTAGGTTTTAACCTGTTACCTTTGTATCCCTCAACTGTTTCCTAGGGTTTTTGCTTGCCTGCAGCCCTTTAAGGTCTTTTGAAATAAAGGGCATTATAAATTAAATTAATTATTATTACTATAATTATTATAAACCCAAACTTTGTGTTTTAGTCGTGAATCAGACAAATCACCAAAAAGCAGCCGTTTTGTCAGCTGTTACCGGACTAATGCGATGGACTTTGTTCCCTGCAGGTTAATCGCTTCGAGCAGTTCAACATCAACTATGCAAACGAGAAGCTGCAGGAATATTTTAACAAGCACATTTTCTCTCTGGAGCAACTTGAATACAACAAGTAGGTGGAAGCTTTTTAATCTGGAGCTGTGAAATAATCCCTCGTAGAAACTCGTACAGCTCGGTGTGGACATCGCGCACGGCTCGGAGTTCACTCTGGAACGTATTCCCCTAGAACCGGTTAGCGGCTAAAGCTAAGGCTAGCACATGAGTCATGAATGAAAACAGGCATTTCTACGCCTCTCCTGCAACATTACCCAGAATGCATCAGAAAACATCCTGCTGACCCACCAAAGTCCGGCTGCTTCCTGTCTGAAGACTGAAAACATCAAAACTGTGGTGGAAAAAGAACAAAAACACACAAACATCCACTCCATCGTGGGGGGTGGGGGGGATCAGCTCTCTGATTGGCTGAGACTGTGAAGCTGCATCATCATCAACGTTTCTAATGCATCCATAAGAAGAAGAGCTGATAAACTCATTTAGAGTTAAAATCCTGTCTCCGGCTTCAGGAATGCGCTCTGTGTTCTTTTCTTCTTCTGCTGTTCTTACGAGTGTTTGTGCTTCCTGCAGAGAGGGTCTGGTGTGGGAGGACATCGACTGGATGGATAACGGAGAGTGTCTGGATCTGATTGAGAAGGTTTTTAATCTGAAAACAGCTGCTTTTACTTTCTTTCACATGTGAAAGTGAAAGATTCGGAGTTTTAAATTGGTAAATAACTCCTAATGGTGATAAACCGGTTTGTACAGAAACTGGGTCTCCTGGCGCTGGTGAACGAGGAGAGTCACTTTCCCAAAGCAACAGATGGAACGTTACTGGAGAAGCTTCACAGTCAGCACTCGGTAGGTTTCCTCTGGGTTGGGGGCGGGGTTATGGAAGTGTTTGATGGTTTAGGACCAACCCACCTTTCTTATTCTGCACAGAAAAACCCGTTCTACGTGAAGCCTCGTGTGGCGGTGCACTACTTTGGTGTCAGACATTATGCAGGAGAGGTAAGGCGTCACATCAGGGTTGTTGTTTTTTCCTGTAGTTGGGTGTTTTTTCATTTGCTTCTCTACTCCTTTGACCCTCTGCCACCCCCTGGTGGCCGGTTCCAGGTAGTGTATGATGTAAGGGGCATCCTGGAGAAGAACAGGGACACGTTCAGAGACGACATCCTCAACATGCTGCGGGAGAGCAGGTGAGTTCTGCTGCTGGAACAACAGAACATCTGCAGACGTCTCTAATGATTTTATTTCTTCTAATAATAAATGACTCTGCCCCCAGCTGTAGAGGATGCTGTACGGTTTCCTAGATCATAATCTAAACTTCACAGTTAAATAATTTACTAGAAAATTCCAATAAACATGAAGATGTTTGAAAAATGAAAAGTAAAAAAAAAACATCACTTTTCCATTATTACTGTAATTATTTAGTAATAATATTAAAAACCCAAAGTGCCTTTTTTTTCTTCTTCATTTAAAACTCGTTTTTTTCTCCTTTGTTTCGGCATCACTTCTTCTAAACATTTGTTCCAATTTACAGAAAATTAGTTTCCAACCCTGTGGAAATGAGACTTTTTTTTATTTTATTGGAAATCATGTAAATGTAGAACCTCCTGATCTCCCAGGTGACCTAATCCAGTCATGATTCCAGATGTTTATTATTACCAGATGAGTCAGCCATGTTTAAGGTGAACCGGTCACATCTGCCCTTTAGGTTGGACTTCGTCTACGATCTGTTTGAGCACGTGGTGAGTCGGAACAAGCAGGACACGCTGAAGAGCAGCTTCAAACACCGACGACCAACAGTCAGCTCCCAGTTCAAGGCAAGTTCCTGAGTCAGCTCGCCCACCTACAGACCTGATCTCAGGTCAGCTGGACGCAGTTCTGTAGGGCTGATGACCTTCAGCTGTAAAGAAGAGTCATTTAGTATGAAACCAGTTCTAGTTGGAACTAAAGTCTGTATGGTAATTAGCACTAAAAGAGGCCCAATAAAGGTTTATTTACTATAAAATCGTTAAAAGTCTTGATCTTGGATTAAAGTGAACAAAATAAAAGCACATTCCTAGAAAAGATTAAACACTGGGTGGTGCTGTTATAGCAGCCAGAGTTTACTTATGTAAGGATATTCAGATTTTGTAATTAGGAGTAATTTATGTGGGACTTTTATTTTGTAGAACCACATGTATTTATCTATTAAGGGCTTTAATTTTGAAACACATTCACATCAGCCTTTTTTGGATTATTTTGTAAAATAGATTTTTAAACGTATTTATTAGTTTCCTATTGGCTGAAACTTTTGTTTTTATTCTGTCTGCCTGCCTGTCTGTGTAGCTCTCTGTCTGCCTGTCTGTCCGTCATCATTTTGTTTCGGTACTTTTCCATTCTGGGTTTTCTTAGAAATGGAGGTTTCTGGTCTCGATTGTTCTGCAGGATGAATCAAACTAACTGAGGTTACAGATCAGGAGGGAGATTCAGCGTTGGATGATTTTACTGTAAAACTGGTTTTAATGGTTTTAATGGTTTCCAGGACTCACTCCACTCTCTGATGGCGACACTCAGCACCTCTAACCCGTACTTCATACGATGCATCAAACCAAACACACACAAGGTGAGCCTCTGAGTGAGACCGTCTATGTGCGCCCGTGTGTGTGTGTGTATGTGTGTGTGTGTGTGTGTGTGTGTGTGTGTGTGTGTGTGTGTGTGTGTGTGTGTGTGTGTGAGAGAGATAAGTTGTGAGGATTTATTAAAATTGTAAGAAAATAATCATAATATTAAAGAGCAAATTGCAGGTTATATTTTTTCTAATTCATATAAAATTCTGTCCAAAAACAGTATTAGAAAAGCTTATTGTGGATACTTGGTTATAAAACACATAACAGCAGTTTTCTAGTAAAAAGTTCCTTTCTCTTGTTTCTAAAGCTGAACCTCTGACATAACCAAAGGGAGTTAGAAGCTAGGCGCTGCCTCAGCTCAGTGTGGACAGTGGCTAGCTTTAGGGCAGAGAGGTCATGTGATCCAGTCCGTGTGTGTTTACTAGTGTTGGATTGTGTTCTTGTTGATAAACTATAGTTTATGAAGGCTGTACCAACTCCAGCCTGTCTGGACATCGAGTCCACGGGTTTCTAGACAAGAGAAACAACGCCTCTAGTAGCTCACATCGGTCGCTACCGGGTCAGGGAGGTCCGCGCTCGAGCTCAGATCACCGTCAGAACCGACAACCAGAAGAGACGAGCGGCTCAGCGGGCTGTCGAGCTGGTTTCTGGGTCGGAATCTGATCAGAACCGCCGCAGACCTCCAGGAAAGGATCGTGTGCAGCTTTTAAAAATACCAGCTGAACTGGCTCGCTGGTGTCTGGGTCGGATCTAGCTCACAGAAGCCCGCATGAGCTCCAGAACCGGATGACAGACGTCTCTCTCCCTCTCTCTAAGCTAAACTATGTTAGGTGAACGGATATTAACGAGTATGAGACAGCTGACCGACGCTCATTAGTATTAATATTATATTAACTTACAATACTATTTTAACTGTCTGGTACACAATAGTAATCTGTACTATATTGTGATGTTAGCACACGAGTTTAAGCTAACATGGTTAACTCAAGCCCCCCCCCCCCCCCCCCCCGCTGCGCACAATCTCTCAGCTTTGGCCAATGGTTTCTCCCTCTGGTTTGTCTCTGCTCTCTAGGGCGTGCAGTAAACTCGTAACTTTAAGGTTCTGGTCCATCAGAAATAGAATTATAAACATTTAAAGTTTCCTCTGTGTCAGAGCCACTAGTGATGTGTCGGTCGCGAACGAACCGGCTCTAAGAGCCGGCTCTATGAAGTGAACGACGGGAGCCGGCTTGTCATTGGGGGCCGTCACCCCCTCTCCTCTTGTTTTGGTGAAAGCCACAGGCGATTGGTCAACATGTGTAACTGCGTGTCCAGACTGTCCACAGTAGGGGCAAGGAAGAGGGAGGATCAGACTCAGGCAGAAGCACAGCAGAGCTGGTTAGAGTGGCTGACTGGTTTATCTACAGAACAGCTTCCAGACCAGTTAACAGTGAGTTAGTGTTAACTAGTAACTTATTATATTACATACTAATGACTAATATTGTAAAGTAATAACGAATTATAGTATTAATTAGATAAATTGCATTTCTTGCAGAAACGTTGTTTGAATGCTGGATAGCTTAAACTGTTAGCTGAATCAGCTTAATAGCTGAACTGAAGTTGAACGTAAGCAAAACTGTCTAAATGAGCTGAATGTGTTGAAAGATGTAGAAGCAAAAATCACTAACAAGCAAATAAAGCACAAAACGTAAGAGAAGAATGGAGAAAAATAATCCTAAATAGCAAAAAACTGAAATCTGCAAACATTGTATAAAAATCTAGTTTAGTTTTAGAACTAGTTTAACAGTTTAATTTTTACATTTAGCTGAACTGTGAAATTAGCATCATATGCTGAATTCAGAAACTGATTGCTGAAGCTGCTGAATAGCTGAAGTGAAGCTGAAACCAAGCTAAACTGTCAAAATGAGCTGAATGTATGTAAAGATTTAGAAACAAAAAACACCAACAAGTGAAATAAAGCTCAGAATATAGGTGGAGAATGAAAAAAAATGCTAAACAGCTGAAAACTTTAATCTTTGAACATTGATTAAAAACTCGAAATTTGAAATGTTAAACAGCTGGCATTTGAGTGAGAATACTTTAATAGGTACATTTTTACAATTGGCTGAACTGTGAATTTAGAAACATTTGCTGTAATCTGAAACTGATAGATTAACATATGTTCAGACTTGATATGAATTGTCTAGAAGCTATGACGAGAACATTTTAGCTGTCTGAAGCCGATGGGAGGAGAAAATCTCTGTTCCTTTAACATGGGTTTCAATGAGACAGAATCAGGGTCTCTCTTCCTTCTGAGGCTTGTAGAGAAAGAACCGTAACACTTACAGATAAAATAAAACTCATTCTGAAAAGCTGACAAAACTTCCTACTTCTTTAGATATAATTTGTTTCGGTACTCCAAACGGTCTGGGTGTTGGAAAGAGTTGTTTCCAGAAAATGTGAAGGTCAAAAGTTAGTGTGGAATTTTCAGTTTAGGGTGGTGAGAGACATTTTTTAAAATTTGAATATTATCAAACAAATGAACCGTACAACCACAATGTTTGGAGTACATTCATGATTTATAGCTCAACACGAAGGTATATCCGTTATCTGTAAGCCAGCGTGTGTCTCATTTCAATCGGACTTACGGTTTTCTCAGGACAATGCCAGAAATGGAGCAAAGGAGGGTCATTGCTCCAATCTCTGCCCATTATAATTTTTTAGATTTTTTTTTAAATCTCAAGCCGTACCTCAACTTCTACCTGTGATTTTAGAAAAACTGTAATAGATATGTAAAAGCTTTTTAACCATTAATAGCTGAAAGTCTTGTGAGTTTGTTGAAACTTGATTAAAGTCTCTAGGTTAAAGTTAACCTATTAGAGTAAGAGTTCAAAAACGTGATGGGATTTAGCTGAAAATTGAGCAATCCCATTCATTTCAATGGGACCAAAAATCACAGAAAAAGCTGAATATCTCAAAATATATAAAATATTTTAATACCAAAAGTCATTGTCGGCATAAGCTGAACAAGCTGAACGTTTTGATACCAAAATTGTGTAAATAGTTGAAGAATTGTGGAAGTAGTTAAATGCCAAAAAATGTAAGGAAGCAGAATAATAAACTAACCGACTATAAAGAGAAACAGGATCACTATAGTTTGAATGCTTAAACAACTAATGACTAACATTGTAAACTATTAACTAATTACTGATGGTTAAATAAGCTTTAGAGTTTATTATCATGTCAGGAGCAGCTGGACGACTCAGATCAGATATTAAACAGGGACAGATGATGACCTCTGAGTGGAGCTTAATGAAGTTGGGGGTGTTAGTGGCCCCCCAGGGGGAATGGAGGTCAGAGTGTCAGGGCATAAGACCCCATGAAAGGTGGCCATGTCATCTCCCTGTTTGAGCCTGAGCAGCTGATGAGAGCACAGTGTAGTGTGTGTGCGGTGGTGGTGGTGGGGGGGGGGGGGGGGGGGGGGGGGGCGGCTGATGGAAAAGTTCAGGACGTTTTTGTCTTGAATCTAATTCCAGATTAAATCAGAGATTAAATCATCCCAAATATTAAACTCCCCCTTATTTTGATGTGGTTGTTTTGCTTCCAGTTGCTAGAACAAACAGATTCAGTTCGTTAATGAACGGAGCAGCTGGTGATCCACTGAAGCTCCATTTCTCCTCCGGTTTGGTTCTGTTTAGTAAAAACTCTTTTATGGTTGTAAAATAATAACTAATACAGGAAAGGCTGATTCTCACTGGTCCCACTGCTGGAGACACAACGAAGATTCTGTCAGCATCGACCGGGTTTCTCCTCCAGGACCACATGTGTAGGACGACTTGTGTAGGATGACTCGTGCAGGGCGACTCATGCAGGACGACTAGTGCAGGATGACTTGGGCAAGACGACTCGTGCAAGATGACTCGTGCAAGATGACTCATGCAGGATGACTCGGGCAGGGCAACTCATGCGGGATGACTCGGGCAGGACGACCCGTGCAGACTTGGGCAAGACAACTTGTGCAGGACGACTCGTGCAGGACAACTCGGGCAGTACAACTCTTGCAGGATGACTTGTGCAGGTTGACTCTTGCAGGACGACTCGTGCAGGACAACTCGGGTGGTACAACTCTTGCAGGATGACTTGTGCAGGTTGACTCTTGCAGGACGACTCGTGCAGGACAACTCGGGTGGTACAACTCTTGCAGGATGACTCGTGCAAGATGACTCATGCGGGATGACTCGGGCGGGATGACTCGGGCAAGACGACTTGTGCAGGTTGACTCTTGCAGTACGACTCGTTCAGGAAGACTCGTTCAGGACATAGACTTGACCATAAACTTAGTTTAGTCACTTAGGATGTAAAGAAAAAAATTGTTCCTGTTTTAGTTTCAAAGGAAAACTTCTGATTCCCTGAAAAATTCCAGGGTATTGTAGAGGAAAAACTTTCCAAGAACATTCTCAAAATTCCAGAGTGAATCTCGGCAACGAGTTTGAGACAGGTAGGATTATATGTCGATGGGTAGGAGACTTCCTCATGGAATACGTCTCCAGCAGATCCATCCCAGTCTGGTACTGGTGTCAGGTGGAAACTCGGTTCACACGTGTGGTTCAGATCTGGGATTAAGGTTTGGGTTCATTTGGATCACGACTCAGAAAACGACACCGCCTTGTTTGAATCTAAACATCCTGCTCTTACACATACACACACACACACACACACACACACACACACACACACACACACACACACACACACACACACACAAACCAGACCCTACAAGTGGCCAGCTCAAATTAGCTTCAGCAGGCGATGCATCGTCATGGCAACTGTGTTCCTCCTCTCTCCCGTTAGAGAGGGGAGTGGAGTTTCTGGCTTTGAAAGCCTTTGTTTGACTCTGTAGTGTGTGAGACTGGTGGGAGGAGTCAGAGCTCTGAGGAGCCGGTTGCACACAAACACACACACAGAGTCAGAGAGGCTCGGCCGTTTTAGGAAGTTTGTTATTCGGCACTGATCTGGGAAATAAAACCATGCCAGGAAGCGGAGCTGGGATGTGAGGTGAGACCTGATCCATTTTCCAGACGGGAAGCTGTGCAGTCACGTGCACGCTCCTTATATTTGGTTTAGATGTTGTAGAGTTTTAGCTGCATGACGGATTCAGGATTTTTAATTCAGCTGGGAAAAAAATCCAACATTTAGATTTCAAATTTGTGCTGAATTTGAAAAATAACAAATGATTTTATCAACCAAACTGAAAACAGAAATTTGGCAGAAGTTCTTGGTTTGTAGCTAAATAAATCTTATTAGAAATCCTGAATTCTTCCTGCCACCATCACCATCATGTGGAGCGTTCCCGTTCCTCCGATGGTTCCTGTTTGCTCCACTGAACCAGAAGGATCTGACTCCTGGAATGATGCAGGATGGACTCTATTTGGGACTGGATCTGGATCAGAGGGGATTAGAAATGTTCAAACCTTCAGGGTTAAAACGGAGGAGGAAGGTGATGTCTAATAGGATTAGGATTCTGGTTAATAGGGATTATTTTTGCTCCTTTATCCGTGATTCCATGTTGGATTTTATTTAAGCTGGTTTTTCTTTAGAGGATTTTTATGCAGCTGTTTGTTTTATTTGGAGGACCGTAATCCGAAAGTTTTCACATCATTTAATAAATGATCTTTTTATTTATTTTTGCGGGTTTGGGAATCTCATCCACAGGAATGGAGTCTGGAGCAGTGCGAGGTTAGCTTTAATCCCTCTGCTGTGTCATTGATGTTTGTGGGAAATGCAAACCTGCAGGATTCGGATCAGATTTATGTCTTCTGCCTCCTTCTGAGGGAGGTGCTAATCCCTGACCTTCACCCTCAGAAGGAGCAGCTCCTCCTTGTCTGATTTACTCATATATTTATCTGTCTAACATAAATATGATCAGAGATTTGAACCATATTTTAATCTGAAGCTAAACTTTTAATTTTATTCTAATTTCGTACCCTAAGGAACGTGGGCCTGAGCCTCCTGGAGGTGTGATGGAGCTGCAGGGCTGTTTGAGCCGGTGTTCCGACTATCCGTGCTCCCCGTTGAATTGCGCTACGTAAGGCAAATGCGCAGGCCGATTATTACGTCACAGGCTGTTTACAAATCGAGACGTGCTACGTGTGGAAGTTTACGTTTAATCTCATCACTTATCTAGTTACTTTCAACTCGTCGAAAGTCACAGTACATATTTCTTTAAGTTGTTTTATTAAATGACTGCTTGCTGTATGTTTACCTGACAGTTAGCTTGTAACTGGCTTCTAAAATATCGTTATTATTCTGTAAACAATAAATTTCTCCCATTGTTTACAGTCATTCTGAAAGAGTCCCAAATTAATATCCAAAAGTTTTATATTATACATATAATTTATCATAGTTGTATAATAATCTCCAAAGTTATACATTCAAACAAATAACTATGTATTGGGGGAAAGCATATTTGTTCAATGTGGATTAATTTGTCTAATAAAGGACTGGGTAGACACATAGAACGTCTTACAAATCTCCATTTTTATGAATCACTTTCTCAACATGGGTGAAAGTAGTTGGTAAATCGTCATTGTTCTGAGAATATTCAAATGTTTTAATTTTTACGAAATGACTAAACTGCTTCTTACACTATCCACTTTTTTTCATAAAATAAATTAGCAGTAGCTACCGATTTTCAGTAAAGCTGGACAGACTGAGTCAGCTGTTGAAATGCGCGTTGGTAGGAAAATTCGACGAGGAAGCACGGATAGTCAGAACAGCGGCTGTGGCGGCCTGTTAAAAACAGGAAACGGGACGGAAAGTCGGAGGGGGCATCCTGACGACTGAATGCTAATTATGCTAATGAGCCTTCCTCAACGGGTGAAGGCCACCATTCAGTCAGGACCATCAGCTGAATAAAGGAGGCATTTCCATCAGTATGAAAGCCCCCTTATTCTCACACACACACACACACACACACACACACACACACACACACACACACACACGCGCGCACACACACGCCAGGGTGACGAGTCCCCTGGGACCTTGGGTTTGGGATGAGTCGGAGCAGATTCACAGCTTTTGACGTCAGTCTGCTCCGGAAGGGAAGGATGAGCGGGATGCAAGTGTAGATCCCAGACTTATTATGGGATGGAGGTCACGCATCACATCCACGGTAGTGATCTTTATCTGCTTCTTATCCAGATGCCCGACCAGTTCGACCAGACGGTGGTTCTAAACCAGCTCCGATATTCCGGCATGTTGGAGACGGTGAAAATCCGACGTACCGGCTTCCCGGTCCGGAGATTGTTCCAGGACTTCTGCTGCAGGTCTGTCCCAGCGGGAGTACTCGTGTTCACACCTTTGACCTTTAGTTTCCGCTTCAGTCAGAATTAGAGCGTTTCAGTGATGTAAGAGAGAAACTTTCAGTTAAACGTCGAGATTATCGGAGCTTCAGAGTTCAGACGGCGGTTCTTCGCCTGCTCAGGTACAAGGTGCTGATGGGAGCCGCGGTGGCCTCAGATGACCCCAGGGGGCGCTGCAGAGAGCTGCTGCAAGTCTACGACAGCAGCGGAGTGGAGTGGCAGCTGGGAAAGACCAAGGTAACTGGGCCGGGGGTCACATCCATGTTTGTCTTTTATGTTCTCAGCGGTGGTTTTAATGTCCAAATACAAAAAACATCTCAACTAAGAAAAAAGTTAGACATTATGCGATGTTCGAGTAAAGGTTTAAACATTAAAACGTTTATTTTTATTAACCTGATATTATTCAAACTCTTGTTCCACCAAAGGAATAAAACACGTTTTAATTTATAAAATCTTCACCAAGACTAACGACATGTTTGTGATTAATGATAATGTGGGTAGGGTCAGGGTTTCCTTCGTAGGGCTGGGGTTGTAGTTACCAGGTAAGAATAACAAAGAGAATTCAGTCTTTTCATTCTTTGTTTAAGGAAAATCACGTTTTTGTCCCCGTTCTTTTACCGGCTAAAGCATCAGACAGGAAGTAGATTTACATCAACAAGGTTGCTTCCTGTAAATCAGGTGCTGGGGGCCTGCCCACTTTGTCCCCTGGTCAAACCCTTACATCCTGGCTGTTGGCACAGGCTCCGCCCCTTGTCTCTGAGTCCAGCTGTGTGTTTAAGTCTCAGACTTGGTTCTGGCTCTCTGGTGGCTGGTTCTGTTTCCTAAAGGCCCATAAAGCAACAGTAGAAGGGCGCTGAGGTCCTCTGAGGCTTTTGTTGTGCTAATTGTGGCGGTAATGATTATGGATCAGTGCTAACGTGTGCACTCGTGCACGTGGGACAGTCATTCCCAACCGTTTAGTTCAGCTTTGCTGCCGAATCTCCTCAAAGCTGATTTAAATGTTAAATAAAATGACCCACCAGCAGAATTAGTCAGAAAAACCCTAAAACTCTTTTCATCGGTGCAGAAGTTTATCTTTTATCCCGAAGCTCTAGTCTGCATTCATCCCACTGACTCTTGACCCGATGTTACTGCTTCCTCCCATCCCAGGTTTTCCTGCGGGAGTCTCTGGAGCAGCGCCTGGAGAAGCAGAGGGAGGTGGAGGTTCTGAAAGCAGCCATGATCATCCAGGCCCACGTCCTGGGCTTCGTGGCCAGGTCCAACTCCTCCTGGTTACATCTGAACCCGTCCTGAAGCCTCTCAAGAGCGGATTGGGTGAAACCGATGATGTCATCTGTTGGTTTACAGGAAGCAGTACAGGAAGCTGCTGCAGTGCATCGTGGTCATTCAGAAGAATTACCGGGCGTTCTACTGGAGGAGGAGGTTCCTGCTGCTCCGCTGGGCGGCGCTCACCTTCCAGAAACACCTCCGGGGTCAGCTGGCCCGCCGGACCTTCAGCCGGCTTCTGGAGGAGAGGAGGGAGAAGGAGGAGAAGGAGCGCCGCAGGAAGAAGGAGGTGGAGGAGGAGATGGAGAGGTGAAGATGTGTTGTTGTCATCTGTGATGTGTTACAAAAGGATTTAAGTCCCACTGACCGGTGTGCGTTTGTGTTGCCATAGGGAGAGACGGAGGCTGGAGGAGGAGCGACTCGCCAAGGAGGTCGGATGGACTCCATGTTTTATTATGATGAAACACGTGGATTATCGTGATGAAAACGTAAACATTAGGCTCGTCTTCATGTGTCCTAAAGGCACCTGTTCTGTTTTCCTGCTTCAGGTGGAGGAAACCAGAAGGTTGGAGGAGGTGCGGCGTGCTGAGGAGCTGGCGGCTCTGGCCCAGCTCCAGGCAGCAGCTGCGTCTTCATCTGGACTCCTGAAGGAGGCGCGGTCAGCAGATGTCTCTGAGGAGGAGACGATCCGTCCACACGAGGCGTCTCAGGTGGAGGAGATCCTGCGTTTGGAGCGGGAGATCCAGGCGCTGCAGAGGCAGAAGGAGCAACAGGAGCTCTCCCTGACTGAGGCCTCCCTCCACCGCCTGCAGCTCCTCCGTGACCAGGAGCTGCGGCGGCTGGAGGACGAAGCCTGCAAGGCGGCGCAGCAGTTCCTGGAGTCGCTGAACTTTGATGAGATTGATGAGTGCGTGCGGAACATCGAGAGCTCTTTAGGAGTAGGAGAGGAGGAGAAGGAGAGCAGGCGGAGGAGAGGCAGTGAGGAGGAGGAGGTGGATGAAGGGTTTGGAGCTGACGACGAGGCGTTCAAAGACTCGCCGAACCCGAGCGAGCATGGCCACTCTGACGGGCAGCGGACCAGCGGGATCCGGACGAGTGATGACTCGTCTGAGGAAGATCCGTACGCCAACGACGGCGTGATCCCACCGCTGCCATCATCCGGCCTGCTCCTCCAACCGCTTCCTCCTGTTCCTCCAGCCTGCCACAGCGTCTCCTCCAGCGCAGACTCCGCCTACTGCCAGCCTCAGACCTCCTCCGAGGCTCAGTCCGATGACCTGGTGGAGCTGATCCCTCCAGACGAGGACTCGGACTATGATCAGGACGACTACGATGAGGGCGCCATCGTCTCCAGCGGCAGCGTGGCCTTCTCCGCCTCTCTGAGTGGTCAGTGGTCTCCAGACTACCGAGGATCTGTAGGAACCTACAGCAGCTCCGGGGCGTACCGCTTCAGCTCCGAGGGACCTCAGTCCTCTGTGAGTCGGACCTCAGGGTCATTAATCCCTAACTTCCTCTTTACGCTCCTGGACTTTTAGTGTTTTTGTTTTTGTCTGTAAACATCTGGATTTTACCTTTAATAAGTTTTCAGTTTGATGACTCAGCTCAGCTTTTCTCCCCACAAACATGATTATCCAACATTTATCCGACATTTTCCGATGTTTATCCGACTGGAAGAGCTGAATTCATTTATTTTGTTTCAGTTTGAGGACAGTGAGGATGACTTTGACCGGTTCGACAACGACGATGAGCTGTCATACCGGCGCGACTCCGTCTACAGCTGCGTCACGCTGCCGTACTTCCACAGCTTCCTCTTCATCAAAGGTACCTGAACGTGTTTCATTACACCTGACAGGTGAGGTGGGGTGGGGTGGAGGTGGAGCTAAACATGTTTTTCCTCAGGCAGCCTGATGAACACGTGGAAGCGGCGATGGTGCGTTCTGAAGGACGAGACCTTCCTGTGGTTCCGCGCCAAGCAGGAGGCGCTGAAGCAGGGCTGGCTGCACAAGAAGGGGGGGGGCTCCTCCACGCTGTCCCGCCGCAACTGGAAGCGCCGCTGGTTCGTGCTGCGGCAGAGCCGGCTCATGTACTTTGAGAACGACAGTGAGGAGAAGATGAAGGGCGTGCTGGACATGCACGACGCCAAGTAGGGAAAAAGCTGGTTCCTCTGGGAAGACGGTTTATCCTGACAGCTTATCCGTGTCATTGAAACTCCGAAATGTTTTTATCCTGCAGAGAAATCATCGATAACACAGGGAAGGAGAACGGGATCGACATCGTGATGCTAGAGAGGACCTACCACCTGATAGCTGAGTCAGCAGAGGATGCCAGGTCACCTTCAGACACACACACAGAGACACACACACTTAATTCCTCATAGACTCAAACCCTCTCAGGAGTTTACCTGTTGTCCTGTTTCCATGGTTACAGCCAGTGGTTCAGTGTGCTGAGTCAGGTCCACGGCTCCACGGAGCAGGAGATCAGCGAGATGCACGACGAGCAGGCCAACCCCCAGAACGCTGTGGTGAGTTCAGCCAAGACACAAGAGTGTGTGTGTGTGTGTGTGTGTGTGTGTGTGTGTGTGTGTGTGTGTGTGTGTGTGTGTGTGTGTGTGTGTGTGTGTGTGTGTGTGTGTGCGCGTGTGTGTGTTTGTGTGTGCGTGCGAGCATGCGTGCGTGCGTGTGTGTGTGTGTGTGTGTGTGTGTGTGTGAGACACAGAATCCTCTCTGGTAAGCTCCGCCCCTCCTACTGATTGTCCAGTCGGCCTGAAAGTTGAACTTTAAACCAGGGGTTGACTTCGGAGTTTTGCTTCTTCGCCTGGATCGTGTGTGTGTGTGTGTGTGTGTGTGTGTGTGTGTGTGTGTGTGTGTGTGTGTGTGTGTGTGTGTGTGTGTGTGTGTGTGTGTGTGTGTGTGTGTGTGTGTGTGTGTGTGTGTGTGTGTGTGTGTGTGTGTGTGTGTGTGTGAGACACAGAATCCTCTCTGGTAAGCTCCGCCCCTCCTACTGATTGTCCAGTCGGCCTGAAAGTTGAACTTTAAACCAGGGGTTGACTTCGGAGTTTTGCTTCTTCGCCTGGATCGTGTGTGTGTGTGTGTGTGTGTGTGTGAGACACAGAATCCTCTCTGGTAAGCTCCGCCCCTCCTACTGATTGTCCAGTCGGCCTGAAAGTTGAACTTTAAACCAGGGGTTGACTTCGGAGTTTTGCTTCTTCGCCTGGATCGTGTGTGTGTGTGTGTGTGTGTGTGTGTGTGTGTGTGTGTGTGTGTGTGTGTGTGTGTGTGTGTGTGTGTGTGTGCGTGCGAGCAATCGAGATGGTTGGTTTCCAGAAACAGGCGAAGGTCAGATATCAGCATCTGAACGTTGCTCCTGAGTCTTTCCTTTTTCCGTGTTTCTTTAGGGAACTTTGGATGTGGGAATGATCGATTCCGTTTGTGCATCAGATAATCCTGAAAGGTACGTCTCCTCACACACCCCGCTGTAACACCTCAGAGACCTATCAGAACAGGTACATGACTCTGAGGCGTTTGCATTGCAGACCGAACTCCTTTGTTCTGATCACGGCGAACCGCATGCTGCACTGCAACGCCGACACGCCCGAGGAGATGCACCACTGGATCACTCTGCTGCAGCGCTCCAAAGGAGACGCCCGCGTCGACGGGCAGGAGTTCATCATCAGAGGTGACGTCGGACACCTACAGAAAGAGGAAAGAGCCGTGGTGTGTACAGATGGGTAACCGGTGTGCTCCTCTCCTCCAGGATGGCTCCATAAAGAGATGAAAAACAGCTCCAGAGCTTCCCTGAAGCTGAAGAAGCGCTGGTTCCTGCTTACCCACAATTCCCTGGACTACTACAAGAGCTCTGAGCGGAACGCCTTGAAGCTGGGAACACTGGTGCTAAACAGCCTCTGCTCGGTGGTGCAGCCGGACGAAAAGGTCTTCAGAGAAAGCGGTGAGAGCAGAAGCACACTGGGGGGCGGGGCTACAGCGTCAGCCATGTTGTCTGAGTCTGTTCTGCTGCTTCCTGACAGGGTACTGGAACATGATCATCTATGGCCGTAAGCACGCATACCGGCTCTACTGTAAGCTGCTGACTGAAGCTACACGCTGGGCAACCTCCATCCAGAACGTCATCGACTCCAAAGCTCCCATCGACACGCCCACCAAGCAGCTCATCCAGGATATTCGGGTACGGAACATCTGGGAACGCTTTCCCTAGATACAAGCTGGCTCGGGTCTAAAGTCTGGTTTGGTTTTGCAGGAGAACTGTCTGAACTCAGAGGTGGTGGAGCAGATCTACAAGAGGAACCCCATCCTGCGCTACAGCCACCACCCGCTGCACTCACCGCTGCTGCCGCTTCCCTACGGAGACATCCACCTAACTGGTGAGACACGGAAAAGCGGAAACCTGTCAAATTATCTGTAGCACCGGTGACATCATTGCCTCTCTCCCTCAGCCTCTAAGAGCAGACACTACACGACTCTGCAGGATGAAGCCCTGAAGATGTTCAGCTCTCTGCAGCACCTGGACGGTGTGACCGATCCCGTTCCCATTATCCAGGGATTCCTGCAGACCGGCCAGGAGCTCCGAGCGCTCCGAGACGAGCTCTACTGCCAGCTGATCAAACAAACCACCCGGCCGCCTCAACCCAGCGGTCCCGGGAACCTCTGCTGCTGGAAGATCCTGGCCTGCATGTCCTGCACCTTCGTCCCCTCCCGGAGCATCCTCCGATACCTGAAGTTCCACCTGAAGAGGTGAGCATGTCCAGCCATGAGCTTTCAGGAAGTGCCGTTCTCCCTGTGACGATGATGTAATCTGTCTGCAGGATCCGTGAGCTCTTCCCCAGCTCAGAGATGGACCAATACGCCGCCTTCGCCTTTGACTCCTTAAAGAAGACTCGATCCAGGGAAAATGTTCCGTCGCAGGAGGAGATCCGGTCCATCATAGCCCAGCAGGACATGAGCACCACGGTTCACTGCCACGGAGGAGGATCCTGCAAGATCACCATCAACTCCCACACCACGGCAGGAGAGGTGGGTCCCGGAACCGGAACGGAGTTCTGAGGTTTAAGCTGCTGAGCTGAAGCTGTGTTTCTGGCTCCGAATCAGGTGGTGGAGAAGCTGATCCGAGGTCTGGCCATGGAGGACAGCAGGAACATGTTCGCTCTGTTCGAACACCACCACAGCTCGGAGAAGGCCATCGAGAGCCGCGCGGTGGTGGCCGACGTGCTCGCTAAGTTTGAAAAGTGAGTGATTCTGTGTGGTCCGGGTTTGCCATGTCGCTGCCGAGGTTTAACCTGCTCCGTGTTCTGCAGAATGTCGGCAAATGCAGACGAGAGCGGCACCGGCTGGAAGCTCTACTTCAAACTCTACTGCTTCCTGGACACGGAGAGTGTTCCCAAGGACAGCGTGGAGTTCGCCTTCATGTTCGAGCAGGTAGACCTCAGAGAATCATGTCAAGGATTTTGCTTTAGTCAGCTGATATGAGGGATTAAAGGGTCCAAATTAGAACAAATAAGCACATGTGGGATTAATGCCCTGTCTTTAATCTATCCTCGGCTCCGGTTCTGCTCCTGAACTCAAACGTTCCTGTCCGGAGTTTCTGCTGCTTCCCTCTGGGCTCTTCTCCCTAAAGTCCCCCTCAGCCAATAGGAAGCTAGATATGATGCTGACCAATGAGCATGTTTCGTTGTGGGGCGCTAAACTTCGGCCAATGGGAGCACTGATGAAATAAGTGCACCCAGAGGGAATCAGCAGAAACTCCGGACAGGAACAGATCTGAACGGGAACGTTCCTGTTCCTGATTAAAAGCGGTTCATCTGGGTCTGGGTTGGTTCTGAGACGACAAACCATTTAAAATATTAGTTGAAAGTCACTGAGCGGAGAGAAGCTCACGAGTTAGCCTCGTTAGCTGAACCTCCCTGTTCCAGATGGTTCCTCTGGTGGGAATTTACAGGAACGTGTTTTTGTCTCTGCCTCCTCAGGCCCACGAGGCGGTGATTCGAGGACACTATCCGGCTCCAGAGGAGACGCTCCAGTTCTTAGCTGCTCTGAGACTCCAGTACCTCCTGGGTGACCAGAATTCCCAGGCCAACACCCCGGAGTTGTCCCAGGTCTTCCCTATGAGCCGACTTCGGGCTCGAGTGCAGAACTCTGCCAAAACTTTCACGCCGACCTCCGGCTCTGTTGCCGAGCGTTCCGGGACGTCAGAGAGGAAACGCTCCAGCTTCCTGGAGGGAACGCTGAGACGGAGCTTCAGGAGTGGCTCGCTGAGTCGGCAGAAACTGGAGGAGGAAAACAGCCTGGAGGTGTGGATGAGGGAGGAGTTGGCGGCGGTGAAAACCAGTGTGATGGAGAAGTGGAGGAAGCTTCAGGGGATGAAGCAGGAGCAGGCCATGGTGAAGTACATGGATCTGGTGAGGGAGTGGCACGGATACGGATCCACACTCTTCAACGTCGAGGTCAGAATCTCCACATATCACTTTCCTGTTGATCTGGTTCCTCCAGCTGATCCCAGATCAGTCCAGGAACACAGTGTGGGTCTAGACTCCTATAATCCATCAGATTAAACAGGGATGACCTAATCCTACAGGACTACGTTCTGATAGCAAGGGCCTGTTCATGTGTTCATCCTGTGTGATCTCACTTCCTGTCCTCCCAGAGTCGGGATGGAGCGTTCCCATCGGAGCTTTGGTTGGGCGTCTGCAGAGAGTCCATCTCCGTGTACAAGCGGGGGGAGGCGTGGCCAATGGAGGTTTTCCCCTACGAACAGATCCTTTCCTTCGGAGCGCCGCTTCCCAATGCCTACAAGATCACGGTGGAGGGACGGGATCTGGTCTTCGAGACCCAGATGGTCGGTTCTGAGTGATGAATGTTACGCTGACTTCATGTTCGGCTCGGTGGTTGAACCTTGTCTCCTCGTCCCCTGCAGGTCATGGACATCGCTAAGCTCATGAAGGCCTACATCAGCATGATCGTGAAGAAGCGCTACAGCAACAGTCAGTCGGTCAGCAGCCATGGGAGCCAGAGCAGCGCCTGGTGATCTCCCACAGGGTCAAAGGTCGGAGCCAGAACCACCATCGGGTTCCAAACCGCTGTGCCTTTGTTCTCCGTGTTTCTCCACACTCTGCTCTCAGAACAAAGACAGGAACTTTCAGCAGCGGTCGCGTCTGAACCGGAGGAGGTCGGAGGGCCGGGACCAGACCTCAATCCAGATGTGGTTTTACGTCTGGGAGTCGGTGGATTTAATCACCTACCTGAACTCATTCAGACTCAGATTTACCAAAGAAAATCAACTGAAGGTTCCGGTTTATGTGAGACGGAGACGAGTTTGGGTTAGTTTAGGGTCACAAGAGGCCGCTGAGCCCGAACGCCACTCCGAACACACGCCTCGTTCACCCGGAGCCACGCCATTGGCTGCTCTCCTCGGTGCCTCGTTGTATATTCTGTACACACTGTTGGTTTTATATGTGCAATGTTATATAAATATAATAATTATAAACTTTATAATCAGGTTTGTACATTTCCTGTGACTTAACTCGTTTTAGTTTTGATCCGACAATAAAAAAGGTTCAGATATCATCTGATTTGCAGATTTATTTTGTGATTGTATCGTTCTGATGGACTTTAGCTTTTAGGAAGTGAACCTCTCCCAGATCCTCCTCCTCCTCCTCCTCTACCAGCAAAGACACATACGTTTAATCTGACACCATGAATTACCCACAATCCTCTCTGTTTGTACAAATAGTCTTTATACTTAACAACCGGGTTGCATTCAACAGAACAAACACAGCAGAGTCACATTCAGGTTGTTTCTGTGCTGCTCCAGCCTCTCAAGGCACCAAAACGACCCAAATGAGGTAAAACCAGAACCGCTACGGGACCGGGTCCAGACCAGACAGACAGACAGCACTTCACAGGAAAGCAAACACAACAACAGATCCATCTGTGCTCGTTGGCTTCGGTCTAAGCACAACCTAAACCCAAGTTTAAAGGTACAGTTCTGAGCATGACAACCAGTGTAGAGCAGAGGTGTGAGTCACATGACCTGGACTTGGGCCAGTTAACTTGAACATTATTGAATATAGTTTACACAAGTTGAAGACAAACCGAACAGTTCTGCTGCTGCTTCTGTTCAGTAAACAAACACTTTAGGATTTAATTCTTATTTCTGAGATTATTTCTCATTATTCTGTAACTGAAGTACCGGTTTGGTCACATGACTCGTTTAGGATTTGCTCATCAGGCCTGTTAACCACCTGCTGATTCAAATCAGGGGAATAAAATAAAAGCATTGCAAATAAGTCCATCTAATAAATAATAGCATAAATTAAAATGACCCCAAAAGGTACGTGAATCACCTTTACAGCTGAATTATTTTAGTGTTTTAGTCGTGAAATCACAGTGATGACGTTATTTTTAATTTGATTCTGTAAACATCGCGTGTTATCTATCTGATAAACTGCCTGTTTGATCATTAAGCAGCTTTTTGGCTTAATTTACGGAATCGGAACCGACAGAATAATAAACCAGCCAAATCTGTAGCTTTGATGCGTTTTTATGGCTTCTGTGATTATTTTGATGCTGATTAACTCTTGATGGTTGAGATGCTCCATCCTAACTAAGTTAGTCACTGATTCAAGCTCTTGGCACTAACGACAGTAAAGATGATTGATGTGAGAGAGAGAGAGAGACCAGCGCTGCTCCAACCGGGGGAGGTTCACCAAACTGGTTACAAGATAAAATTTCAACCTTTGAGCCTGCGAGACGTTTCCTGATCACTAACCCAATTTTACTAAGTTTACTTACGTATAAAAACATGGAGAACTGGAAAACTGGAGATTGAGGGCCGGCCTCAAGGAGAAAACAAATATTTGGCAACCAGAAAAGCAAAAAAACAGGACATTTAAATGCTCTTCTGTACATTTCTGACTCCTCCCTCCAGAAGGGGGCGGGTCTTAGTTCCTGGTTGGTGCTTACACAGATGTCACTCGGATAACGACCTCTCCTGAGTCGGCGTCCTGGCTCAGGTTGTTCTGATGCACCAGGCAGGGACAGAGGGGCGCCAAGCAGAGGCAGGTCCAAGGCCGTGACCCCAGCTGGGTGGGGTGAAGGGGCCCGCTGGCCCCAAAGGTGGCCAGAGGCAACCAGAGCGTCCTGGGGCCCAACGAGGAGGGACCAGTGCTCGTCTCCTCCATGTCTTTGGTCTTATCGTAACTCTGGACGTCCCAGTGGAGGTTGACAGCTCGCCAGCGCAGGAAGACATTGTATACCGCCGCCCCCTCGTGGACAATCAATCCTGTTACAAGCACAGAGAACCTTTATTAGATCCATCACGTAGGTACGGATGACGGAGGTGAACCCACACTGACCTACGCAGACCAGGTCCATGAAGCCGTACATGCCGTAGCAGATCTGGAAGAGGACGTCGCGGCGTTGCCAGATGGCCTGAGGGCTCAGAGCCGACCACAACAGCCAGGAGATGCTGGCCACCAGGAAGAGCGAGCCCAGGAACACGGCGATGATCTGCACCTTCTCCACCAGGGTGATGGTGATGGACTGCCACTGAAGACAGGAAACATGTTAACCACATTGAAACTTCAAAATAAAAGCCTCTTATCTCATCTTGCAATAGCATCCAGTCCTGCAGGTTTAGGTGATTCTCTGCTCAACACATTTCATCAGAATCAGCTGAGGTTCTGCAGAACCTCGACCTCTAAATCAGGAGAGAAGCACCCAAGACTTGCAGGATGGGGATCCTGGAGGACTAGGAATGGACGAGTCCAGAAAACTTTAATCAGAACCCGGTGTTTAAAGTTTAACTCCACAGAGTCCAACAGAACCTCTAGCAGAAGTTCTGGTTGGAGTCCGAGGTTCTGGTCGGGGTGGGAGGGATCGGTACCTGCCACGGCCTCTTCATGTTGATGGCGATGACCTGGAAGCGGTAGCAGCAGAGCTCACAGGTCCAGCAGCCTCGCTCGCTGATCCACTTCAGCAGACACTGCTGGTGGGTGTACCGGACCGAGCCGTCGCAGCGACACGGGTTCAGCAGGTCCCCCTGGAGAACGGGTCAGCCTCACTGTGAGGTCATTCAAACCTTAACTTTATGCTTTTCAGTCAAAATAAAACAGAACATGTTTACATCCCATAATGAACCGGTTCTGACCGTCCCGTTAGTTTAATCTGGTTGTAAAAGGATATTGGAAAGTTCTGTCATAGAACCGGTCCTGAACCCTGCAGCTTCTTTAGAACCCTGGTGCGGAACTGGCTTAGAACCCTTTAGAACCCTGGTGTGGAACTGGCTTAGAACCCATTAGAACCCTGGTGTGGAACCAGCCCAGAACCCTTTAGAACCCTGATGTGGTACCAACCCAGAACGCTTTAGAACCCTGGTGTGGAATCGGGCCAGAACCCTGGTGTGGAACCAGCCCAGAACCCTTTAGAACCCTGGTGTGGAACCAGCCCAGAACCCTTTAGAACCCTTATGTGGAACCGGCCCAGAACCCTTTAGAACCCTGATGTGGAACCGGCCCAGAACCCTTTAGAACCCTGGTGTGGAACCAGCCCAGAACCATTTAGAACCCTGGTGTGGAATCGGGCCAGAACCCTGGTGTGGAACCGGCTCAGAACCCTTTAGAACCCTGGTGTGGAACCAGCCCAGAACCCTTTAGAACCCTGATGTGGAACCGGCCCAGAACCTTTAGAACCCTGATGTGGAACCGGCCTAGAACCCTTTAGAACCCTGATGTGGTACCAACCCAGAACGCTTTAGAACCCTGGTGTGGAATCGGGCCAGAACCCTGGTGTGGAACCGTCTCAGAACCCTTTAGAACCCTGGTGTGGAACCAGCCCAGAACCCTTTAGAACCCTTATGTGGAACCGGCCCAGAACCCTTTAGAACCCTGATGTGGAACCGGCCCAGAACCCTTTAGAACCCTGGTGTGGAACCAGCCCAGAACCCTTTAGAACCCTGGTGTAGAACCAGCTCAGAACCCTGGTGGTTTTCATTTTGAGCTGCCAGATTAACTCGACCTTTAACCATCTATCCAGGTTAATTCCACACTCATTCTCGAGATCGGAGCGTCAACATTCCCATCATTAAGAAATTTGTGTTTTTCCGTCCTCGGCAGGTCGTCCGTCACAGAAAGCTCCAGACTTCCTCCCACCAGAGGGTTAGACCGGATCAATGATCGTTCCTCAAAGCTGCAGCCGTCACAGACGTTAATGGATGGAAGCGGCCAGCCCTTCATCATCCCAGTATCCGTTTAGTTTTTCCTCCTGCAGGAATTCCTGAAGCAGACATTCCTGCAGCGGGCCGTGAGCAGCAGATTAATGGTGTATAAAGGTCAGGGGTCAGAGAGCCCGTTTTTAACCTTGTGGGTTTAAAAGGACCTCAGAGGCTTTAGGCGGGTCGGACCTCCGCGCCCATTAAAATCTACCATCAAACATCTAAATACGTCTCTGGGTTCTCCAAGAACCCGGAGATGGTTTTAGAAAGAAAAATGTGCTTTCCTGTTTGACATTCTAGAATAAAAAAGTGAGACTGGAACGAGGATCAGAGCAGGAACAACAAAACATCTACATGCTGGTTCCAGGTCCCGGAAGCTCCACAGACCCCAGTCCTTCAAACCTCAACGAGTAAAACCCACAAATCCCAACAAAGTCTCAGGACTCATGTTGGAGAATGAGCTCCATCAGTGTGGACCAGGACCAGAACCTGATGGACAGCAGCTCCGGGCAACTATGGAGGCCTAGAAGGACCAACTCTGGACATTCAAGAACATTTTGGAAGGCTCTCTCTGAATGAAAACAATCACAACAACAATCCTGTGATGGGACTGGCTCCCCTGTTCAGGTGTTCATCACTATTCTTCCTCAGAGGTCAGACACTTTCAGATTTAATGTCTCCGTGTCTTTTAGAGGACAGCTGCTGGACTTTTATCCCCATCAGACCAGTCTGGTTAGATCTGATGAGCTAACGGGCTTCAGCCCACGGCCAGCAGACAGGATCTTCTCTTAGGCCTTTACCGGCCCGGCTGGGAGGAACCGTCCCTCCTCGGGCTCGGCTGTCACCATCCACGTGGGCCTGCAGAGTGTCACATTACAGAGACGCCTGGACACATGGTCTGAATCAGTATATCCGCTCTCCGGAAGACCTGCAAACAAATTAGTGCAATGCTCGGATGTGTGTGTACTTGTTTAGCTATCCTACTTAGGACCAAAACGGACATATTCTCTAGTCTTCTGATGACCAATGGGCCTTATTAGGACCTGAACAGATTAGGAGCCAGTCGCTTCTGACCCGATCTGCTTTGTTTCTAACAAGAGTTTTAGTGGATTCGACCAGAACCGACATCCCTCTCCCTGCAGCTGTCACCACGGGACTTTAGGCTTTACGGGTGAATCACCTCCGTGTTTAATTTGGTTAGTTGAAAAATTATTTCCTCTGAATTAAAAAAAACATCAAACAAGTTTTTAAAGAGCAAGTCACCCCCAAATCAACTTTTTTTTTGCTGATAAACTATATAAATGTGTGTCTAATCGTGCTGCAGACATGTGTGGTCAATAATTTGGTACTTCACTGCATTTTAGTTAAAATTTAAATATTCTGCCTAAAACTGTCAGTGTTGCACCGTCGTCGGGTAAAAACTCTGCACTGCATTGGAATTTAAATCTGCCACCGCTGTTGGCTAAGAGGTATGCTATGATGTAAACTGGTACATTATGATGTCACAATGCCGTTGTGAGCCTGTGTGTGTGTGTATTTGTTAGCGGCTCCGCCCTCTCTCTCTCTGCTAGGCAACAGCATTTGTTGCATTTTTCAAACAGGAAGTGAGAGTTGATAAAGAATCTAATAGGGGTGACTTGCTCTTTAAAATAAATTTATATTTAAAAATGAACGTAGGTGTACCGTTTGATCTGATACTTTAATCTGGATTATTACTGTGGCTTTATAAGTAAACCTCCACCAGGGGGCAGCAGACACTTATCTGATCGGATATGGCAGGTTTCTGATGAAGGTACTAATCCTGGTGCTCCACCTGCATGTGGATTAGGGATGATAATCTATAAGGGGTTACAGTTCTGACTTTAGTGCCTGGTAACTCTAAGTTTGACCTTCGACCTCACACCATCTAAACAGGCCGTCCAACTTAAAAAGCTTTACTCAGAATGTTCGACAAGATCCGGACCTGACCTGATCCCGGAGCAGGACTGATGTTTCCTTCATCCTTAGTTTCACTTTTGATTTAATTAACTTTAGAAATACAATTTTTTATGCAAAAACGAATGAAGCCGACATCTTTAAACAACTGCTACTTAATGCAAACCTTAACCGACTTGGGTTTGGATTCAGGATCACAGAATATCGGGATATTAGAGATGTGTGCAGATGTTAACAGATGTTTCAGGGTATGGTGCAGACGCTCAGCTCCAGCTTCCACTGTGGCTGCTGTAACGAGTTTTAGGTGGTAAACCAAACTAAGTGTGTTAGCCTTTCCCAACATTACACTGCTGTGCTTTTGTTGGGAAACGTCAGCAAACCTGAGCTTTGAGGAAAATCAGTTTTTACCACCAGATAAAATGAACAACGTGTGTTGTTGTGCAGAAGGAGATAAAAAAAACTGTTATTTAAATAATAACGCTCGTGTGATTTCACCTATGTTTACACGAGTTTCTCTGCGTCGAGGCTGCGTGGACACGCTAAAGATGATTTTATAATAAAAACCAGAAAGTCGCGTTAAAGTGGTTTCGTGCTCTGACGCTCAGGAGACTTCAGCACCATGGACAGCTCATTCCACCGTAATCCTGCATTTTTATGCTTTTATTTCATTTCTCGTCTTAATTTTGGTTTATTCTCTTTTCTTTCCTCTGTCGCAGCTGAAAGTCGCTCCAGCAGCCACTCAGCAGGTTCACGTCCTCTAATTAGGCAGGTTGCTGCCGTCAGCCAATCAGAGGGCAGAGCCCTCACCTTCAGTCCAACTTCCTGCCTCCAGACCAGAGCTCCCAGTCTGGAGACGGGGTGGGTGGGGGGGAGGGGGGGGGGAGGTTAGCCTACCTGCTCTGCTCCCTGGAAGCAGATCCTGCAGCTGGGGGTGGGGATGCAGGTCTCGCTGCTGCTGTTGGAGTGCATCACCTGCGCCTTACAGGATCTCCCCCCGACCGCCCCTTCCTCGCCGGATGTGCTCCCCCCGTTGTCCTCCTCATTGAATTTCTCCGCGTCAGCTCCACAGCCTCCTTCCTCCTCCTCTCCTCGCTGTGCCTCCAAGTCGGGGTGCGGACGTCCTTGGCTCTCCTCCCAGGTGTGGCTTTGGGTGCTGCCGGACTCTCCCTTCGCCTCCCTGCAGGCTGGACCCGCATCCTCCCCCTCTGAGCTCATCATAACACGCAGAGTAAAGAGAAAATTGCATAGATTCCTCCGACAGGCGCAAACTCCTCCAGCACTGCGGAGCAGGGACGTGACGCTGCCTTCAGGCTCTGTTCCTCTGAACCGAACCTACAGTGTGGTACCGGTACCGTCACCGAGCTGCACACCAGCAGGCGGAAGATCCGGATGCAGCGGACCGTCGGAGGGCTGGAACCGCCTCGTGCGCTCCGGAGAGCCGCGGAGGCATCCTCCGACCATCGCAGCGACTCTCAGCCTTCCCAAAACCACCTCTCCTCTTCCTCCTCCTCCTCTTCCTCAAAGCTGAAACAACAGTCTGAAAAGGCAGCAGGTCTCCGCTGAAACCCTACTGATCAGCTGGAAGTCCTCTGTGCCCTCAGGAAGCAGCAGAAAGCATCTGTCCGCGGAAATTACCAATCACATTATCCCATTAGGACTTCCCAGAGCGGGGGGCGGGGTTAAAGGCATCACCTGGGTCTCGGAAAGGAAACCTGCACGCTAAATAATCATAAACTGGGAGGAGTCTCGTTCCAGAATCTGGATGATTTTCTGTTTCATGTTTTATTTATAAAGTTTCCTCATTGTGGCTCAGACGGATGAGGAACTGGAGATTTTAGGATTTCCATGAATCCAAAACCAGTAAATAAAAACAAAAGCCTCTGGATCCTACACTGTAAACGTGGCCGGTTGAAAAAACGTATTCTATGGAAACGGTTAATCAGTCCTGCTGATTCATAACAGGTCAACCTTTCAAAAAACTCATCTCATCTTCCATCTTCGGTTCTGCCTCGACCCGTTTGGCAGCGTGGCTTTGGGGCCAGTCCCCATAAAAAATTATATTCTTTAATTCTTTAAACTGTCCTGTTGAAAGATGAGCATGTGCAGTGTTAGTCAGGATAAATGAATGTATAGACATTAAACAGAGCTGCTCACTTTGGGAAAGTCACCATTTACAAACTTGATGTTCTGGGAAATATCTGAAACTTCTGATGTTTATGAATCAGCGACGAAGAATCCTGAATCCAAAGTCATTATTTAAAAGGTTAGCTACAGTTTATTTTCTAAGAGTTGTACCTCAAAGCTGTCAGATCTGGACGTCTGAGGAGCTCAGAGCGTTATCTCCGTCTGTAAGGATGAGGGGTCAGAGCTCCATTCCAGATAAAAACAAACTCATCTTAGACTTTATGTGAATTCTTTAGAACATGAAAAGCTCTAAAATACACGTGAAAGTTCTCTAGCAGTCATTTACTTGTGCACACACTCAGCACCCCTGTGGCTAAAGCAGAGGAAACACGCATTAGCATCTGTTGGTGTGAAGGGTTCTGGTGGCGCAGTGGGATTGTTCGTGTTCATAACTGGTTCAAATCCCGCTTGTGACCGGACCTGGATCCAAGCAACTGTCCTGGAGAGTGTTGGGGCGGGGGCTTTTGCTGAAGTGGACCACACAGTAACTTGGACAGTTACTAAGTTACTTGGCCATAGAAGTGACTTATTAAGTAACTAAAGCCAACTTAGTGAGCCCTAATAACTTTGGCCATTTAAGTGGCCTAGCTAGCTCATTATTTAAAAACCTACTAGAACCAACACTGTCCCAGGTAGCTGAGCAAGTAAGGCGCTGGATTGGTGTGTTGAAGGTTCAGAGTTCAAATCCAGGTGAGAATCATCATTTTAGAACTTTTGTGAATTCATGACAACATCAAAAGCTCTAAAAACATGTATCAAGTGTCTGCTTGTGTAGCTCCTTCTGCTAGGTGTGGGCTTTGCACTGTGGAGGATGTGAGTTTAAACCTTCTATCAGCCTTTTGGGTACAAACACCAGAAACGGCCAGTCTAAACGTCCCACCAGAACAGTTCAGTGTGAAGGGTGATGGTGGCCAGGTGGGATTCATGTTAGGAAGTCGCCAGCAACTGGTTTGAATCCCGCTCAGGTGTGTTTCCAGGGAGTGGCCTGGGGTGGCTCATGCAAGCCCACTGAGCTCCTTTTCCATTCATTGTCCACCAAAGTCGGCATTTTAAACCTTAAACAGTAGATGGCAGCATTTTTGCTTGATCATGGTCCCATTTCCACTCCACTCCAGTAGGTGGTGATGGTGCACCAACAAGTGGAGTGCTATCGACCACAATTCCGCTTGAGGAAGAAGAAAAATGTGGCCTTCGCACAATGTGGCCCTAAAAAGCTCAATAGAATGAAAACAAACAATAATTTTGTGAGGGGTGACACCCCACCATCCTCAAAAAAGGAAAACCAACTAAATAAGCCTAATTAAAGGTTGTTTTAGTGAGTTTTTCAGCGCCACATTGTGCCAAGACCACATTTTTCTTCTTCCTCAAGCGGAATTGTGGTAGATAGCACTCCACTTGTTGGTGCACCATCGCCACCTACTGGAGTGGAGTGGGAATGGGACCATGTTTTAATTACTAATTATCTCAATATGAAATGGTAAATGGCCCGTATTTGAGTCCTGGAACCCCCAAGGTGCTTTACAACACAATCAGTGTAGCCACAGCTGCCCTGGGGCTCACTGACAAGTAATCGGGCTCCACCGGTCGCTCCGACCACCACTAGCAGACATAATTAAAGGTCCCATTAGTCATCACACTGGTGAAGGTCATCTCCATGTGACCCATCCCTGTGGGGAGCGTTGAGCTGCAGCTGCTCTCAGGAACTATTTGGTGATTTAACCTAAGTCCCAGTCTCAGGGTGGACACTCTACCTCTAGTAAGGTACTACCATGGCCAAGTAACTTAGTAACTGTAAGTTACTGTTTGGTCCACTTTAGTAAAATCACAGCTTGGCACTTGCCACAAATCCAAACAGTATAGCCCTCCCCCATTCACATGTCTGAAGCTCAGGGGAGGGAATCGGGAACCCTCTCCGCCCCTTCCCAGGATAGTCACACTGCTTCCAGGACCAGTCAGCCACCAGCAGGATTTGAACCTGTTGCTGCACTACTGGTGACTTCTGAACTTGAACAAACCCACTGCGCCACCAGAACCCTTCACACTAGAAGATGTGCTAATGGGACATTTTTTATGGATCCACATCTTCCTCAGTATTAAATCATGCCTGAAGGCTCATTTTTATTCCTTGGCTTTTACTTCAGCCTAGCTGGAATTTTACGATGCTTTATTTTTATTGTTTTTATAGTAGTTATGTTACTACTTTTATTACTTCTTCCAATGTGTTGATTTTATGCTCTTTTACTGTGCAGCACTTTGGTTGGCCTCAGCCGTGTAGAAATGTGCTTTATAAATAAAATGGAATGGAAAGAACTCACATAACATCTAAAATGATTTGTTATATTTGGGGATTGAACCCTAACCCGTCAGCTCACCAGGCCTGTGCTCTACAGACTGAGCTGCTAACACATGGTTCGTCTGAGCTTTAGCCACAGGGCTGCTGAGTGTGTGCATGAGGAAATGACCGTTACAAACCATTTCACTTGTATTTCAGGGCTTTTCATGTTTTAAAGAACTCACATAAAGTCTAAAAGGACTTTGTTCTGACCTGGAAAGGAGCTCTGACCCAGCTCCTCGGACATCCAGATCTGATGTCTGAGGACTCTTAGATAAATAAAGATTTATGAGAACAGGATCTAAAATTCAGTTGAAAAATGTTTTAATGACTTGGGATTGACTCATGTTTAATTACGTTTATTCATGTTTAGAGCTCTTTCTGTTTCTACTCCAGACGTTTCAAGTTCTTATGAAGATATTTTTTAAAGGCCTCTAGTAAATTTCCTCCTTGAACCGTCACCTTATCGTGGTGGAGGAGTTTGAGTGGCCTAATGATCCTAGGAGCTATGTTGTCTGGGGCACTTTGTGCCCTTGGTAGGGTCTCCCATGACAAATTGGTCTTAGGTGAAGGATGAGACAAAGAACAGTTCAGAGGATCTTTCATGGATGTAAATTCAAAGAGTCGGAGTACCCGGCCCGGAGGGTTACCGGGGTCCCACCCTGGAGCCAGGCCTGGGGTTGGAGCCCGTGAGCGAGCGCCTGGTGGCCGGGCTTTCACCCATGGGGCCCGGCTGGGCCCAGCCCACACCAGATACATGGGTTCATCCAACTGTGGACCCACCACCCGCAGGAGGAACATGAAGGATCCGGCGCGGTGTGGATCGGGTGGAAGACCGAGGCGGGAGCCTTGGTGGTCCGATCCCCGGACAAGGAAACTGGTTTTTGGGACATGGAACGTAGTGGTGTGCATCTCTACCTGCCTCACGATTCAATCCGATTCCGATTATCTGCCTAACGATTCGATTTGAGTCTGAAATGCATCACGATTCTTCACACAAAAATTTTCATTACTTAATAAAAGCAGTAGAATAGTTTTCAATTTCTTTTTGATTTCGAAATCCCTGAAAAACAGAACATTCATCTATTCACTATAGTGAGCAATAATGTTTAAAGTGTGCTGCCTATAATTACTTAAATAATATAAGAAATAATGTTTTTGGTAGAGCAGCTTTAAGATAGAATATTACTGAACTTAAAAATAGTAAACAAATACTGTGTTAAGTGATTCTTTCACATCCAGGATCCCAAAACCGAAATTAGCCCAGACATCCGATTTAAATGTAACGGGTACATCTTTGATTACTGGTAATGTTGGCCCTGTATCCCTGTCCGCCTTTTCTGTTTTAAATTGGCGCTAGGGCAACGCAGTGCGCATGTGATTGCAACTCTGCCCCCAGAAGTAATTGTAAAACCTCAAAACTTTATTGTCCTCGCATAGACATAGACCAGGGGTCGGCAACCTGTTCCCATCAAAGAGGCATTATTACCCGTTTCCCACAGTAAAGAAAACACTGGGAGCCACAGCAGCCATGGCGTTGTGGGCGGGGCTTACCCTCAGACAGCAGAGAGCTGCTCACAACAGGTGACAGCAGCCAGTACCGGTCGCTCGTGTACGTCAAAGTTATCTTTCATAAGAAGATGATCAATAAAACGATTTATATAAAATGGATCCAGAAGTTGTAGCCCGTCTCTGCCTACAATATTTTGATATTTTTCACCCTGTTGATGGTTTTACTGAGCAGGTACCACTTTTGTCATACATTTCTTTTTAAAACATGTTTAGACTGTGTAGCGGAACATAATTGATATATTCTTACACTTTATTAAGGTAAAGAGACTATTTTTACCTTAGAATCAGAAGAGGTTGTTTTTACCACAGGGAATTTTATTCAAACACTTTGTATTGACTTAGAGACAAGAAAAGAGAAATATGGGACGTTTAAGAATATTTATTTTATAATTATTCGAAACAACCACCAGGACTAACTCACTAATGATGGATGCAAATGGATGTGAGCTGAAGTGTTGGTGTGTGTGTGTGTCAGTTCAGAATCTCCGTTCTGATGAAGGGCGAGTCTGAGGGCAGGATGTTGTTTTGACTAACTAACCACGA